AGTTCCGTGGGTGGCCAGGGAACCACCCCACCCGGAGTGCTACAGCCCCTCCGGCAGCAGCACTCACCAAATCCCCAGCCAAGGGAGCCCTTAGTAAAGCCTACAATGTTTTCACTGAGTGGGGCAGATGTGGAAAAACCAAAAAGCAGCTCAATTCAAGGAACTCATGGCCATTGCTTTCTGACAGTATTCAGACCTGTATGCTCCTTAAAGAGAGAGAAGCCCCTATTTTCTTACAGCATCTTAGGGGGCACCAAGGATTGCCTGGGCATTTATCCCAAGGCAATGCAGAGGCAGACAAGATGGCTTACAGATACCACCTCTGCAACAGCCAGGAACTCAAGCCCAATTCCTTGTGGCAAACGGATGTCACACACTATGCTCCTTTTGGAAATCTTAAGTATATTTTTGTGTCCATCGACACATTCTCACATGCCTGTTGGGCTGTGCTCATACAGAAGTCTAAACATGCTCAGTCTTATTTTCTCCAGTGCTTTGCTACATTGGGTTTGCCCCAACAAATTTTGTGAGTAAAAATTTACAAGATTTCTTCTCACTTTGGGGAATTCAACACAATACAGGAATTCCCTACAATCCCCAAGGTCAAGCCATTGTATAACGCAACCATCAAAACCTAAAAATTCAATTACAAAAACAAAAAGGGGGAATAAGCCCCCACCAACAGTTGGGTATGGCCTTATTCACTATTAATATTCTTAAATTTCAAAAAAAATCAGTTGGAATCCCAGTTTAAGAAGCATTTCGGATGACAGGAGCAGAGACCTGAGGTATGGGTAAGGACCCCATTACAGGGCACTGGAGAGGCCCAGATCCATTGGTAACCAAGGATTGATGCTTTGGCTGTGTCTACCCTGTAGGCGATTCAAACCCCATATGGGTGCCTGTGAAAAACCTTAAGTGGGTAGGCCAGGATCTGACTGACTAGCATGATGGTCCGTGGACAATAGTTCACGAGATAGAATTCCTCTCTTTATTTATATCCATCTGAGGTGAAGGACCCAATTCCTTGGCTTCATTGCCAGTCAGCCTCTTTGACAACTGGCTGATTGGCTAAAAGGTACATGGTCCCAGAAGTATTTCAATATGTCCTATGCCATGACTTGCTTTGTTTCTCTTGATAATGCTTATCTTTAAATGTCTTTACCAGATAATTCGTTGACAGAGGACCCTTGGAACTGCCACAGGCCACCTCCTCATGATTATGGACTCCCCCAGGACCCCCTCTGGTTGCCCACGCTTGGCTAACTGAGCTAGGCAGAGACTAAGACTGTCACAGGCTGGCATTACCCATGTGGCTGCCCTTAATCATGACACATTTTTAGCCAAGGATGGGTAAGATGTCCCATGACAAGTACTCCCGAGACAGGACATGCACATGGCCAGGTGCATGATCCAATGACAGGCAAGGTTTGATCAGAGTGACACAACCTAAGACAGGCAAAAATGCATAAGATTAGAGGAAGGAGATGCCCATCTCTCCTCAGGGAGCCACCTATGAGGTGGGTAACCCATGAAATAAAGTCAGTCAAGCCTTAAAATAAAAATAAAAAGGATATGTGGGGACCTAAAGGCCCCACCTTGCATAGGTCCGAAAGGAAGTTACTGGGGGTGCAGCCTGGCTTGCTTTGAAAGTCTGAAGAATACTTCCGCACTGCTGAGGAGTGCATGATCAGCACGTGACCATCCTTAAGATACACCCCCGGGGGGGGGATTTCCAAGTGCCTTTATAAGCTTTGTAACACCTGTAATAAATGAGTCCCTGCTTGACTAGACTCCCCGTTGCATCTGAGTGTCCCCGGTACTGGGGGTGGCGTGGGCTGGCGAATGGCATGCTTACTCATCCCCAATCATCACTGTGCTGGGGATCGCTGGTTCAAACCCCCGGCAAGACATCAGCTTCAAATTCACCAACACCACTAGAAGCAACAATCAGAACAACCCAGGCAGCCAGAGATGCGACTGTAATTATGCTTCTGATTAAGTCTCTGTATCTTAGGGCATCAGTGAAAGTCACCTAATACTAGCTGGTCTCAAACTTCCATATGGAAATGTCAGTGGTGACACCATGCTCATGTTCAGCTTTCAGTTTAAGTCCCAGACCTACTTAAAGGAGACTTCCTTATCTCAGCAACTTCCTTTTTCAAATTTGTCAATGGTTGCTTTGCTAACCATATTTGTAGATCAGATGGCCAGTGTGGTAGGCTTGCTCAAATCTCCTTACCCAATAGCAATGGTGTTGGCATGAGTCTTTTTTTTTTCTTTATGGCTTTGATATAGGGACAAGTTTCTTAACTGTGTTCTTGCAACAAGCCTATTATGAAAAAGCAGGACTTATAAGGTGCTTTCTTGAGTAGCACCATAAATGGTTGTGGACATAGGGTGAATTATATTCTTCAGTGGTATAACTACTGGTAGGTGGCCCTTGCTCAAATAAATAACCATTCCTGTTCATGTAGTCAACTTTAAATGCAGTGGGCCACAAACAAACAAAAGACAGGAATGGAGGATAGGGATGTGCAAGAAAGAAGGGATTCAGTGGGAGGGGAAGGGGATAAGGGAAGAAAGGAGGGGATATGGTCAAAGAACATTTTGTGTTTCAAGTTGTGAAAGGATAAATATTTTTTAAAGAGTAAATTTGGCCAGATGTGGTGGCACACACCTTTAATCCCAGCACTTGGGAGGCAGAGGCAGCCTGAGTTCAAGGCCAACTTGGTCTACATAGTTTCAGGTCAGCTGGGGCTACAGGGAGACCCTGTCTCAAAAAAAAAAAAGTAATTAAAAAATATCGGAGCATCAGTTCAATCTAGTAGAATAGTTATATTACTCAAGGTAAGTATAATTGCATTGGTCAAAGCTATTAATATATCAAATACCTCAAAAATCTTAGGGACAATATAACAAATATGATTTCTTGCACAGATGACAATATAGTGAAAGTTCTTGTGGAAACGGAGGCTTCCTTCACCAGTCAGGACGCCACACTTTCTAGCTCCATCAGCCTCAGAGTCTCAGAAGCCTTTGCTTGATTCTCTCTGTGTTCAGCCACCAAAAGGGAAAGAAAGACTGACACGTGATTTTTTTAGGATCAAATCTGTAAGTGGCATAATCACTTCTGTCAACATTGTATTGGTCAAAACACAGTTACATGACTCCACCTAACTGCAAGGAACCCTGGGAAAGTACTCCTGTTATGTGCTCAGATAGGAAATAATGAAGAGTTTGATGAGTACAGACCCTTAGCCACAATTCATCCTTTTGATCATCTGTTTCACTTGTCTTCTGTGTGTAGAGCACCCTAATCACTTCCCACACTGCATCCAACCCAAAGTCTAGGACCTCTGGGGGATCCACAGTCCCAGATCTAAGTATAGTTCCTTTTGGTCTGGAATGTTGGAGGAGCTCTTTGATCATGGCTCTCAATGACCCTTAGCAAGTTTTCCCCCCTGCTTTTATCTTCCTTGGCCAACTCTGAAGTGGATCTGGAGGAGTCTGCGGTCTTTGGGAGCTGCAGTTTTCACAACTTGCTCCCTACCCAATGTTGTTTGAAGGCTTCCCAAATAGTCATGGACTTTCTTGGAGTCAGTTCCTGGTTATTTTAGCAATACGACCCCTTCAGATTCTACCAGGCTTCTCATTTGTTTGCTTCTAAGAGTTCCTGATGCAAGTAGCCAGCCCCCCAGTTTTTTTCCTAGACATAGTCCTCAAATCTGTCCCATTCCAATCTTCCTTGTCTCCTCATGGCCATCTCTTTCTGCTGAATGTCAGTGCAGAAAGTTGAGAGAATCTGGATCATGTGTAAGAAGGTATTTCCCTTTAATCTGAATTTCACCCCAAGGTTACGTTACACTATTTAGTCTAAAAGAATTATTTGGACTTATTTGGTTAAGATCCTAATCTTATCTCTTCCTATGGTCAAGAAGCCCTTTGAAATTCTAAATTCTTTTCTTTTATTATCTTTTAGCTCTACTTTGTTGCTGTTTTGTTTTTTTCAGACAAGGTCTCACTTAGCCTAGGCTGACCTGGAACTCCTTACGTTCAGATGGCCTTGTGTGACACCATGCCTCTTTTAATGTGGTATCAAAGATTGAACCCAGGGCTTCCTGCTAGGCAAGCACTCTATCAGCTGATCTCAGCCCCAGTCTGAAACTCAGAATTTCGTACTCTCTGTTCTTTTCTATTTCTGCTTACAAACTGGTCAGTTCTTTTCCCACCCCAATTCTTTCTTTTAATACTTTGTCAACAACAGCTCACAGCAGCCAACACACTGGGTACTGAGTCTTTCTAGCCACTACCTTTAGAGCTGCAGTTTAGTACGCACAGGGCCTGCCTTCCAGTTTCACCACATCATCTACTGTTTACATGACTGCCAACTTACTTACTTTTTCTATCAGTTTCTTTACCACTCACCCTCCAACTGCTAAACCAATGCCACACATTTAGACTTCTACTAAAGTTCCAGGCCTCTCAATTCAGTAGTGGAATGATTAAGATCTTGGGCCCCTGAACTAGTTCAAGACCTGTTTCTCCTATCCAGAATATAAGTGATATAAGGAAGAATATTTTTCCACTCTCAATATCAAGATCCTCCTCTATCAGGTTATTATAAGTATTAAATAGCATGTAAAATAGTTGACACAATTCCTATTACTTAAGTACTACTTAATATATTTTAGTTCAAACTCCCAAGGATAGCCCTGCTTAGCTTTCTTCTCTGTCATGTGTACTGACTGCTGTGTAGGGATTCTAGGGTCTCCTTGTCTTCCACAGACATACCCCATGTGAGAGTTGAGATTCCAGAAAGTAAAACTGAAGCAACATATACCTTGGATAGAATGTTCACTTAATTCACTTTTGTTGTGTTTCTTTTTAGATAGATGATAAGTAGGTAGATAGATAAATAGATAGATAGATAGATAGATAGATGATATATAGATGGATGGGTGGATAGATAAATGGTGATAGATTAGATAGATGGATAGATTTTCCTGGTTTTAGGCACAATGTGCTTTGTACTCTCATTTGGGCATGGCATTTGGAAGAACAACAAAAGCTTCTTCTTCCAGACATTTCTACCATGGGAAGAGTATTTCTCTTCACTAGCTACGTGTTCTGCCCTCATTTTCTGGTCCTACGTCATAGTTCTCAACACCATGGTACCCATTTCCCTCTATGTCAGGTAGGCTTCTTTGATCATTTGGATATAGGGAGAGGGGATGACTTTGTGCTTCCTGCTTAATATCCCAACTAGAGTGTAAACTTTAGGAAGCATGAATTATGCACTTTTATTTTTAAAGACAAGATCTTGTTATGTAGGCCCAAGGCTAGCTTCAAACTTGAGATCCTCTTGCTCAGCCTCCTAAGTACGAGGATTACAGGCATGCACTACCATCCCTAGCTTACTATGTGTCTTCAACTCTTTGCTTTCCACAGTCTTGATGTACAAAATATTGAGAAATATCTAGAGGTTGCAGAGATGTCTTCCATATCTAGAATACTGTGCTAGACATTATGTAATTTATATAAAAAGAAAATTGTTGTTGCCCTAAGTAACCTGTAAGCGACTAAATAAGACATACAAATACGCAAAACTATTAGTAAAAAGACATAAATTTGGTAATGCTTAAGCTAGGCCAAGCAGCCTCTCCTCATCAAGGAGATAGGTTCTAAACATTCATCTGTCAATTAGTCAGAACTCAGAATGCAGTTTCCCATAAAAACAAGGTGACAATGGTAGATATGTCTTATATGACTTAAGTTCAACTCCTAAATGTTGGCGAATAGAGAGAAAGAGGAAGGGTGTTTCCTCCCCTTCTTCCTGAACAACTTGGACAATAGATTGAAATAGATCTTTGTCCTACTTTGATCATCCTTTTCTAGGTTAAGCCGTCCCTGGCACATGCACAGACCTGAATGTGTTTTAGGGTTCTCTTTCCCAGGCCTCCTAAAAACCTGTCCTATAACATTATGACCCCAAAATCACCTGCCATAACTAAATTATCTTATTTAATAAATGTTTCTGGAGCACCTGCTGTGTGCCAAGTCAATATACTAGATGCTGGGGGTAGAGAGCTGAATAAGACATCCCTTTTTACAGAGAAGCTTGCTTATAGCAATGGAAACTGATGAACAAATAATTACGGTGTAATATGAAAAGTTATTTAATAAAAATATGCATGAATGTTATAAAAGCCTTAAGAAGGAATAGATTGCTTCTGCCCAGGGAGGCTTAGGACAATTTTCAGGAAAGGTAATAATCAAACTGATATTTGAAAAATAAGGGAAATAATACTACAAGAGGCAGTTCAGTAGGTAAAAGGTAGGGAGGTTTTTCAAAGATAGACTAAAGTGTTAGATCTAATGTTTAAAGAACATTAAATTATAAACAAAAGGGTTTGGATTTTTATCCTATAAGCAGTAAAGAGCCAACCAAGGTCTTTCAAAAGAAAGAAAGAATATGGTTGTATGTTTATGTTTAAAGAGACTGTAGCAGCATCTCGTGTGGGAGGGATCAAGAGTGCAAGAGTTTCTGGGCGTGGTGGCACACGCCTTTAATCCCAGCACTTAGGAGGCAGAGGCAGGTAAGTTCAAGGCCAGTCTGGTCAACATAGTGAGTTCAGACCAGCGCAGGCTACATAGTGAGAGCCTATCTGAAAAACAGAAACACGGCCTGTGCGATGGTAAATGTGCTTGCCACCATGCCTGGAAACCTGGGTTTGATCAATGGGATTCACAGGGTGAAAGAAGAGACTGAACTCCTGCAGGTTGTCCTCTGACCTCCACATGTGTACTACGGCACATCCATGAACACACACATACACAAACACACACACACACACAAACACACACACAAATGGTAAGATGGTGGATTAGAAGTTGCCTCTGTGATACAACTGTTGTTGAAGAAAAAGTTGAGTTAAAAAAATAACAAACTATTTCTATGAGAAAATGTACTGCGGAACATCAGAAACACATGTAGCAGTGTGAAAGCGTGGGACACAGAGGAAGGTGACAGTGTGAAAGGGTGGGACACAGAGGAAGGTGACAGTGTGAAAGGATGGGACACAGAGGAAGGTGACAGTGTGAAAGGATGGGACACAGAGGAAGGTGACAGTGTGAAAGGATGGGACACAGAGGAAGGTGACAGTGTGAAAGGATGGGACACAGAGGAAGGTGACAGTGTGAAAGGATGGGACACAGAGGAAGGTGACAGTGTGAAAGGATGGGACACAGAGGAAGGTGACAGTGTGAAAGGATGGGACACAGAGGAAGGTGACAGTGTGAAAGGATGGGACACAGAGGAAGGTGACAGTGTGAAAGGATGGGACACAGAGGAAGGTGACAGTGTGAAAGGATGGGAAATAAAAGCAGGTGAAGCCGAGACAAGAAATTAGTCAAGGTGTGACCTGCACAATCCCTCCCACAGAAGCAGCCGGGAGAGGTTGCCCAGGGAAGGCTGCCCAGGAGAGGTTGCTGGCTGGCACATGCTGTGCCACGTGGTTCATGCTGGTCTGATGTCAGTGGTGCTTCCAGGAAGCTACAGTGACTTTTTTGATATCAGCAGCATAGGAATGTGAGCTGGAGAGACACCAAAGGCTGTGGAGACACAACCAGGAACTGGATCTACCATGGGCAGAGACAGCTGGAGCAGCGTTGATTGTGGAAGCTGCAGTAGAGATGTGAGAGGGGAGCCAAGCTTCTCCACAAGTTCCCCAGTGACTAGCCTGAGGAATATACAGAAGCAACCCCCACCACTGCCTAGGCCAGCAATACCCAAAAACACAAGATGTGTGCTGAACTGGGAACACTCTTGATAACAGACACAAATATCCTCAGGCAAGAATCATAGGACATCAATGAAAACCCCGAAGATCTGTCCAGAAAGAGAGTATCTAGTAGCAAAGGTAAACACAGCACAGTATACCCACCCCACTCCCTCACAGCCTCAGTCACAGAGAGCCTTGGTAGAAAATACAGCCCCAGCATGCTGGAGGAGCTGTGGTTGGCAGGTGGGGGCTCTCTGACTGCAGAATTCCTGCAGAATGTGGACAAACTCCTCTCAGCGAGCTGGATGTACAGGTCTGACTTTGAGTTACTGGGACCAGCAGCCCTCCATCATTTTCAGAGCTTCCTACAAGAAGCAGCCAAGGGGCTGGAAAAGCAGCATTCATTCCAGCTAGAAAGAAATGCTAATGTTGTGTTTTCTATTTTCTTTTCAAGATTGACACGTTTGTATGTCAGTTGTTTGGTCGTTGTGTCTTGGCTTGTGTGGCACCTGAGTAGGCTTTCACGACTGTCCTCTCTTCTCTTGCACCTACTCTATACTTTGACTTCTACCTACATACTTTCCTCCTATTTATACTTTCTTCCCTCCATTTCTCTTTTCTCTTCCTTCCTCCTTTTACTTCATTTTTATTAAGACTCTTACAGACTACATTTTCCCCAAAGGCATCCTGTGCCATTGTTCCTGAACCATATCAGGACACAAGTGAAGTGCACACATATCTTCTCCTACGTGCTAACACTGTCAAATCATTGTGTCTGGCACTCTACTCGGCTTCCTGCCTAAACAACAGTGAAGGACATTTCAAAACCAACAGACAGTTCATGACAACCATGCCAGCACTTCAGAAAAACTTAAAGGAATACTATACACAAAAGAGGAAGAAAGATAGATGCATTTACAAAAGCCCAGTTAAGAGTATAGTTCATGAGAGGAATAGATGAACTAAGGAGAGCTATGGAGGGATTTATCATGTCCAGCACAGTAAACCACCAATATCTAATACTAACAGAAGAGAAAGAAAAGAATTAGCAAGA